AGGGTTCTTGGGAGAATGCAAGGAGGTGACATATTATAGAAGAAAACCAATAGCATGTTAGATTGTAGTAGGGGAGGAGATAGAGGGAAACTTTGATATCTCTTTGTTTTGTACACAATGGGTAGACAAAAAAGTCGTGCCTACTTGTAGGGAAATGCCCACAGAGTACTGCAATTACAGAGGCCTGTAAAATCCAGATGTCGGCACTCTGGAAAGGGAAATAGCAGGGATTCCTGGCATCTCCTGGTGATTCCTTTATATGCTGTTAACACTGGGGTTTTCCCTTAGGCTGTGGGGCCAGCACTTCCTTTCTGGGCCTCAAATGCATTTGAGAATTTCAGGTGAACCGCACTTCAGGGTCAAGGGAGCCCTGGTGGTGGGGATGGTTCTAAGAAACAGTCCCATTTTAGCATCACCTACATTTTAAACCATACACATTGGCATTTTAAACCCCAGCAGAGATGGTGGTGGATCACTCTCTTATTCAAACCCTGATTCCTTTATATGCTGTTAACACTGGGGTTTTCCCTTAGGCTGTGGGGCCAGCACTTCCTTTCTGGGCCTCAAATGCATTTGAGAATTTCAGGTGAACCGCACTTCAGGGTCAAGGGAGCCCTGGTGGTGGGGATGGTTCTAAGAAACAAGTCCCATTTTAGCATCACCTACATTTTAAACCATACACATTGGCATTTTAAACCCCAGCAGAGATGGTGGTGGATCACTCTCTTATTCAAACCCCGGGGAAACCAAAAAGGGGGGCAGCATGTAGTTACCCTATTATTCTCCAGGCCAGCTGACTCCAGGGAGCTGTACCCCATGGCCCTCATTTCCTTGGAGTCCCAAATTTGGGAGTCATGAGGAATAGACTTTTTTCCATGTAATTTCATAAGCTTTTGAAACTATTGAAACCCTTTTATGAGGGCCACAGGGACCCCAGGTCCTGTGGCATGTTAAAGCCCTAATGATGGTGTCAGCATTGACATACCAGTGGTACTTGAGTGGGTGTCTTTTTTTTGAGTTTTATTTTGTTTGTTACTTTTTAATGAGATAAGAGAATTGTTATTAAAAAAAATCAAAAGATGGAGTTACCAAGTTAGATGCCGAGTCCCAGTTCTAGAAGGAGGCAGACCTGCATTGGCAGCCCAGATCTGCCACTTAGCTGCGTGACTCTGGACAAGTCATTTGACTGCCTTAAGCCTCACACTCAGTATGTAAAATGGACATCCTGTTGTGGTGAGGAGTTAATGAAATAATTCATGTAAAGTATCCTGCACAGTGCCCAAGGGAAGGCAGGACTCCCAGCTATTTGCTCCCAGGAGCCCTATTCCTCCTTTCATAACACTTACTACAATTGCAATAACACACAGTTGAGCACTGAACAAGGCAGGGGCTGGGGGTGCAGACCTCTTGCACACTAGAAAGTCCATGTATAATGCTGGACTACTCCAAAACTTGACTGCTAATAGCCTACTGTTGACCAGAAGCCTTACCAATAACATACACAGTTGATTAACACATTTTATGTCATATATATTGTATATTACAATACAGTAAGCTAGAGAAAAGAAATTGTTTTTAATTGTCAAAAATCTCCAAAAAATTTTCCTATATGTTTATTGGAAAAAATCCAAGAGGACCCACACAGTTCAAACCTGCAATGTTCAAGTGTCAACTGTTAGTTACTTCTTTCAAGTTTGTCTTCCCTGCCACACGGAGCTCTCTGGTGCTGGAGGGGGTGATCACGTCTAGACCTCTATAGCATCTCAACAGAGTCCATCATAGAGAATCTAGCTTACAGGGATTTCATTAATTATTAGAAGAATGAATGAATGTGCAGAAATCATAAAATTTCAGATTCCAGTAAAATGAACTCTAAGATGATATTCAACTTTTTTCTAGTATCTTGAAATTTTTCATTTGAAAAAAGTGGGCTATTAGCTGGGATTTGGTCATTTCCTTGTTTTTTTAAAAAAATAAGATATTTTAATGTAATCATTATTTTTTTAACCTGAAAATTTCTGCACACAATTTACCTGGGCAACTCTAAGATACCAGCCAGCACAATAAAGATTATCTTGTTTTCTCCCTTTTCCTAGATTTTAAAACTCTTCGGAAAGTAGTTTTAAACACTGCAGTTGCTTTTCATTTTTTAAGTGGGGGCCAAAGGTAGTTAATCTAAAAGATCTGGAGAGCCCAGCTATCAATCTGATTGACTGTCACAACTGACTATTCAGCCCATCACAAATACAGGAGCAAGTATTCTCTCTGTAACATTCAATTATGAGGTACAAGTATGAATTCGATTATTATTGAATTACTACTTAACAAATAAAAAGCTTTCAAAAAACTTACAATACTAAGGGAAGCACCACTCACTTTAACCCTATACAATCCTTTAGTTGATGGACAGTAATACTGAGAAAGACACTTTTATATACACTTTAAAACCAGACAAGTCTTTCTATAAAATGTGCATTAGTTCACTGACCTTTGTATACAATTATTATTAGATGACCTTTACAACTAATACTTTATACATCAGTTCCCCAAAGTACTGACTCTTCACCAGTGTCCCATTAGGGAAGTCACCAGGAATGCCTTCAGGAGTCCACCCACTCCTCGATGCCAGGGGCAGGGGTAGCACTGGAATGGCCTGAGGACCTTGGGGAGGGGTGGCAAGGGCTGGGGAAGTCTTACCTTGCTTCTGGCCAGGCTCAAAGTTTGCTGGGTCTGATACCGTTGTTTCTGCGGCTGCTGCTGTTGCAGGAGCTTATATACCCTGCTCCTGATGGAGTACTTAAACTAGAAACTGACTTGTTCCGAGTTGCAACACTGAAAACAACCCTCAGAACCTTCTGGGGGAATTTCAAGAAGTTCCTTCTTTTTTTTTTTTTCGGTGTGTATCAATAATGCTGAGGGAACAGAGGCCTCAAAATCCCAGGTGATGAACTAAGAGGAAATGACTTTTGGGTGAGGAAAAAGGAAGGAGATGGGATGCTCACTTCTTTGGGTTGACCTCATGGCCAACAGCTGCAGGCAGCCTCCCTGGACTCCACAGCCTGGAGAAGGAAAGGCAGGGAGGGGTCACACAGGAGGCTGAGTCGAGCAATTGTGTGCTAGAGGACCCCAAACAAATCACGGTTCTCCAGAAGTCAAAGAAGATGAGATGAGGGGCAGAACGTTTAGTGTACCTGTGGCACCCTCCCCAAAATTATTCTTTTAAAATCTGTATTTCAGAAACATACTATTACCACCCATTGTGGCTCTACGTGCCACACACACACACACACACACACACACACACACACACACACACACACACACACAGAGCCCTGCACATTCACACAGACACAACCCTGGGGAGATGATAAAACTGTGTGTATTAATAATAACACTCAAATGTATAGGGATATGGCCTATGTCTTTAGGTACTTGCTCACAGACAGGTGGGAGCAGAAAGTGAAATATCCATAGTCTAACATATTGACAACCCATGATACACTCAAGGCAAACCCCCTTGGGCACCCAGGCTGTATAACCTCACACTCATTTGCACACAAATCTCTGGCCCTAGGAGCTCTACACAGATGTTAGGAATTAGGTAGAAATTCCTAGCGAAATTTAGCATTGCTAAGCGGAGTGCAAAGCCATCACCTTTGTCAGGACCCCCGCCCCGTCTGCACGGGAAGGGAGCACAAACACTAACGTAACCGAACACACCTAGTCCAAGGACAGACAGGCCGCCAGTGCGGGCCGTACCCAGCGCCGCCAACAGCGAGCGCTGCTGCGAGGCGACCCGGGCGCGCGGGTCCGGGAGCGCAGACAGGCGACGGTGACTTCTCCATCCGCGCGCCCGGGCCCCACACCCCGCGGGGAAGTTTCTGGGGTCCGGCCGGTGTCAAGTGGGCGCAGATTTCCGTGCTGACTTTCCTTTCAGTCTCTGAGGGGGGAAGACGGGAAGCCCGAGCGAGAGCGGCGGAGCTTCCCAGCCGCACACTTCCTCCCGCTCTGCGTCGGTCCTGGCCGGGGCGGGCGCGGGCCGCTCAGCTGGCTCTCCCACGGGTGACCCGGCCTCCTGCCGGGCTTGGGCGGAGGCGCTGCCTCCGGCTCAGAGCGCCTTCTCCCATCCCCTCTGCGCTCTAGGTTGCGGGCGAACCGAAGTTCTCAAGTTAAACAAGCAAAACGGCCTGCCCCCAAGATGCATGGCTATGTGAACCAAGTAGGTTGCGCTGTATGTTGGTTGTATGATACCATCTGTATGTGTGTGTAAGTGCGGATGTGCTTCTCACAATGGGCATCCCGGAGGGTGTATGGCTAGGTGAGGATGGCCTTTCCGCAGTTTGTTTTTTTTCCTATTATATGATATATACACACATACATGTATTAAAATATTTGTGAACTGAGAGGGTTTCTTTCTGTAAAAATGTGTTCATTTTTCCCAACAAATCATCAAAGGTAACTGAACAGAAAGCTTAATATGAAGTTGACATGAAATGTTAAACTAAGTCATTTACAGTGGCTGTACCACTTACTGGCAAGCCCTTCTGTGACTCTATAAATACATGTATACATACAATAAGACAAATAAGTTAAAAACATTTTCAAAATTTGAAAAGCTGATTTGAAACATAAACTCTAAGTAAAAAGAGTGTCCTAGTTTTGCAAAAGAAGCTTCAAGGTAGGTCTTGGTCCCCTTTCCATTCAGACTGCAGCCCCAGGGCCAGTCCTATGTGAAAGTGCGGGGGCACCTCTGTTCACCTCTGCCAAGGACATGGGCTCTGGAGTTAGAAATCTGGATTCCAGCATCTGCTAGGCAAGTTACTTAACTTCTCTAAACTCAATTACCACTTCTGTAAAATGGGATTAGTAATGGTTCCTGATCTTAGGTTGTGAAGATTGAAGGCTTTTATGATGTAATGTACTTAGCACAGTATCCTAAGTGCTTAATAAATGCCTGATTTTATTAATTAATTTGTTTACCCTGCCTGCCCCAGAAAGGCTTTTGTTAGCTCCCTAGGGACATCAGAGATGACAAGGAGAACAAAAGAAGGCAGAGAATGAATTACAGAGGAGCCTGGAAAAGGGCTCTTAATAGTCTGCGTCATGAAACCACGTGACCATAGTTGAGCCACCACGTGGCTCTGAGCCTCCCGCTACCCAAGAGGAGAGAGAAAAGCCTGCATTTGCCTCACAGGACTGACTATTTTGATGGGGTCAGTTCACCTAAGGAGGAAATACTCCCATACTTTATATGCAGGTAAGAAAAAAATCCAGGTACTTGGGCCCCACCTTCCAATATTTCAGTTCAGTAGATTTTAACAAGCTTGTGGGTGATTTTCAGTTGGGGACCTGTGCCCATACTTTGAAACACACTGTACAACCCCTGTGCTCCACTGCTGGTAGATTCGCCCTTGTGCCTTACTTATCTCTGGGTGCCCCACAAGGCCAGCCAGCACTCTGGTAATGTCTGCCAAATGCCCATCGTCCTGATTTCACAAGAGGTTTGTCCCTTTGCCCCACTTCACAATCCAGGCCCTGATCCCAGGCAAATGGAATCAAAGACCGCAGATCTCCTTGTGATTCTTCCTATGGGACAGGAAGGTCTGCTTACAAACAGCAGGAGTGCTGAGCTTTAAGATGGAGAGGGTCCCCCTAAAAGCTGATAATAACTTGAAGAAATTTTTGACCACAAGACTTTCTTTTTTCTAGAACGCTTGGAGCTTCTAGTTCAAGTCTCCAATAAAGGGGAAGCCTTTATTTTAAAATGTTTAAAAACTTACACAAGCAATACTTGCATGCGTGCTACTGTGAAAACTACAAAACAATGCAAATATATGTAGACTGAGAAGTCGAAGCCCTGATTCACTCAGCTCCCAGAGGTCACTTGCCACCATTTTGATGTGTATTCCTGCAGAGCCTACTCTTGAATTTTTTTTGTGTATTTAAGTGTACTTAGTTAGCTATATAAATGAGATCATACTGTACATATTCTTCTGCAGATTACTCTTTTCTTGCAACAATCTGTTTTGTGTCCAGTGGCTTCCTGTGTCTTGCTAGAGGTCATCTGGAATATTCTATCTGGATCGATTAGAGTGCTTTAGGCTTTGTTCTCCAGCTAGCTTCTCTTAGGCTCTTCAATTCCAGTCATTAATCCACACAAGACAACATGTAGGATGATAAAAGCCCATTTTTTTGTGTGTTTCTCTCTTAGGAGCAAAGCATTTGTCCCAGAAGCCCCCGTGGGCTTCTCTTTGTCACACTGGGATTAATACAAAATTGCATTTAGAGAGGAAGAGGGAAAGATTTCCATATGCAAAGTGCAAAATCCATGCCAGTGAAAGGAATGGGTGTGTGGGCAACCAGAAGGAAGTGGGTGTGTCCTTGGCTGTAGGATTGGGGAGGTGTTCACGTGTTTTAGAAAGATGTTGGTCTGGTCTTGCAGTCAGCAGACACAGGTAGAACAAGGCAAGTGGGATCAAGGTGGAGAAGGCAAGCGTCTGGAAGGAAGACCTAATATCTAATGCCTTTCCACATCAACTCAAATCAAAAGGCAATCACTGCGTACCGGCTGGTCAGCCCTGGAACACGTAGAATTTTCATTCAGATAAATGTAAATTCCCAAGAACAGACGGAACAAATGTAGCCTCAAATGTGACTCCCAAATCAACAGTCACAATGGAAGATGCTCCAAATCATGGGCTCAGAGTTTTGGTCAAGCTCTTTCTTGCCTAGAAAATTTTATGTGTTCTAGGGTGAGTGGCAGCAGGAATACACTTTACTGAACGGTGGTTTAAAAATTCATCCTACAAATGCAGGGGTGCCAGTTGAGCAGAGCTCACAGAGACTGCCTCCGTGGAGGTAAATATATACAACTTCTTTTGATATCTCATTGATCCCTGAGGTGACTTGAAATTCAGTTTGGGAACCATAGCACTAGACATAGTAGTCTCAGACTATGGATTCAAGATAGTCCTTTGCCACTGAATTCTTTCTCAAGTAACATTTTGCATGAGGACTTCAGAAAGGAAAGTTATCACTCTTTTTGAAAACTGTATCCTATTTGTCCATAATTCAATATGGATGGTCAGGGAGTGTGAACCCAGACTGGCTACTTTGGGTAGAGGAGAGGAGAGACAGCATGAGAAACTGCCTACAGAGCTTCAGCAAGAGCGTGAAAGTGTGAGCTGTTACATACAAAGAGGAAGTGAGTATGTGATAGATCCACTAGATATTTTGGAGCCCTTGATGAGGACATGAACGCTCAGACTCTGAAGGGTTGGTTATTTTCAGAACCTGCAGTTAAGCTGGCCAAGTCTTGGGGCATTGCCCGTGTATTGAGGAACATCCTGCCAGAAGGCAATTGAAGAACAGGAGAGAAGAATTTCAGCGCCCAGCTCAACCAGCACATTCCTCTGGCTGCTCTCGTGTGTTTCCTCAGCTGGGTGCCTTTCTTGGTGAATGAGAGAAAGTGTGAGGATTAGTGAACAGGTGAGTCGACCAGTCTTTGGAATGCCTCAGAACCTCAATGCAATAGAATACCATGTTGTCTCAAAGAGCAGTAGTCAGTAGAGCCAGCTGACTTTAAGGAAGTTTGACTTTCTCTTTCTGCCTGACATCATGTTTGTAAATTTTCCAGCTTGCTTGGGACACTGATGAAACCACTTCCCATGGCCACTTGGAGATCTTACATCATCTTTGTGGTGGCTTGACCCAGGAAATCCTCTGGAGAAACCATAATATCCCTCAGAGGTAGGATGTGTCCTCACTGATGAACACTTTAGGCATGGAAAAATACACTCTGAATGAAGAAGAGCTCTTAGGTTGGCTTAGGTTCTCGTTCTGTCTGGTGAATGGTTAGAGAGATATACTTCCTTGAGGAAAATCCTAGCCTTGGAAATTCTGCACTCATGGTCATCATGTTGAATGGTCCAAGTTCTCTTTTGTAAGGGGTGGCCATCTGGGTTCCCTCCTGTATCCACTGACTTTTGTCATGGCGTGCTGCCTGGACGGTCTGTGCCATGGTTAATTTATGCAGAACAAGCATGGCTTTATTTGGGGCTGGGATTGGGGATGGGAAACAGGGATACTGGGTGACCTGAATTGGAGGCATGCTTCCTCCCTACATAATACATTTAAAGTAAAGCCATGCTGCCTTTTGAGGTGGAATGTAGGGCAGAGTTAAATGTAATGGTCTCCAGGAGCTCAGACACTTAGACACTCTACCACTTACTGTTTATATGGCGTTGGGAAAGGTGCTCAGTTTTTCTGTGCTATACTTTTTCATGTTAAAATGGGGATGAGTTTTCTAGTATCTACCACAGTTTTTTGAAGATTAAAGGAGCTACTGCATATAAAGGACTCATATGCTCTATGAACAGAATGTGACTCACAACAGACATTTAGTACCTATTAAGCTGTTTTATTTTCAGACTCCTGTCCTCCAGGACCATAAAAATAGATTATACGGTTTTTTGAGTTAAGAGGCCCATTTTTTCTTTTACTTCTAAGTGTTTTAGTCTGTAGAACAATATTGGGCACAAAATTAGTGCTATTAATAACCTATAAAAATATTTCCTAGTGGATATTCAGGCACTTTTGAAAGCTGTTAACTCTCAGGGCACTTTGTCATAAAACTAACACACCAAGATAGTTCTCAAGTATGCTTCCAGATGCCCAAATCTCATTTTCTTCTATAGCCACCCAAAATTATTTTATTAGAATATCTTTATTCAGCTTCTATATTGTAGTATTGGAACTTTTTGGAGCTAAAAACTCCTTATTATACTAAACTTACAGCATGACAAAACCTGGGGCTTTTAGGAGCCAGGTATGAGGGGCAAACAAGTGAAGGGCGCCAGGTGTATGATTCTGGATGGCTCTGGAAACAGCAGAGTACTCTGGCAGTCATGCCCCATCTAAATGCATTCCAACTCAAGTTTAAAAATTAAGACCTGATGTTTTAGAGCAGTTTAAAGTTCACAGCCAAAGAGGGGGAAGGTGTGGAGATGTCCTGTATGTCCCCTGCTCCCACATATGCACAGCCTCCCCCTTACTGATATCCCCCACCTGACTGTATTTATGTTTGTTACAATGGATCACCCTACACTGACACGTCATTCCTCAAAGTCCGTAGTTTACATTAAAGTTCACTCTTGCTATTGTACATTCTATGGATTGGGACAAATGTGTAATAAGAAGTAACCTTCATTATGGAATCACACAGAGTATGTTCACTGTCCCCAAAATCCTCTGAGTTCTGCCTATTCATCCCTCCCCTCCCCAGCTCCTGGCATCCAGTGACCCTTTTACTGTCCTTATGGTTTTGCCTTTTCCAGAATGCCCTGTAGTTGAAATCAGACAGTATGTAGCCTTTTCAGATTGGCTTCTTTCACTCTGTAATATGCATTTAGGGTTCCTTCATGTTGTCTCATGACTTCATAGCACTTTTTTTTTTTAGTACTGAATAATATTCCTTTGTCTGGGTATACTGCAGTTTATTTATCCACTCACCTACTGAAAGACATCTTGGTTGCTTCCAAGTTTTGCCAATTGTGAATAAAGCTGCTATAAATATCCATGTGCAGGTTTATGTGTAGACATTTTCAACTCCTTTGGGTAAATACCAAGGAGCATTATTGCTGGATTGTATGGTAAGAGTATGTTTAGTTTTATAAGAAACTGTTTCTTTTATAAGAAAACTGTCAGCTGTCTTCCAAAGTGGATGTACCGCAAATTCAACTTTAAAACAATATTTAAAAATTGTTTTAAAAACTACAGCAAGCATATCTGTGGGTTGAATTTGACTGTACTGACTGTAACCTCTGGCAAGATTGCATAAAACTTGCCAAGGCATAAAGGAGCTCAGATTTGTACACTAAGAATCATAGTGAATATGACTTGTTTTGATATCTCCTTTGTCCACATGAAAAATGTGATGAATGAACAATCCAAAGGGCTCAGGACAAAAGTGATTTCAGTGCAATGCAGACAACCAACACAGCCAGGAAGCCAGGGATGCTCTCCAAGGAAGCATCAAAACAAGGGTATTCATTCATGCATTCATCCATCACACATTTACTGAATGCCTAGTGTACTGTTTGGTTAGGAGGGAATCCCTTTTCATAAGCCTTTTACAGTTTAGTAGGGGAAATAAGCCAAGTGCTCAGATGGCTATTAAACAGCACAGGATGAGAGAAGTGCTCAAAGCCCAAGTGAAGTGCTACAGGAACTTAGGAACTGAGAGACCACAACCCCTGGGGAGGATGAAGGCAGAAACATAAAGGAGGTGACAGTTATGGTGGATTTGAAGGAAGGAGATATACTGTGATAAAAAAAAGAGGGTCACTTGGGGAGGGAGCAACGAGGTAAGGAAATGTAGTGGCAAAGCGGCCAAGAGACACCAGTTAGTTCTGCTTCCCTGGAGCTGAGTGTCCTCTGAAGGGAAAGTGGAGGACGAAGCTGGAAAGGGGACACCGCGTACACAGATCACTGACAAGAATGGCTGAGCACTATGAGCAAAGCCCAGTTAAGACCAGAGAAAAGAAAAATTCTTGCTCTTCGCTAAACGTGGACTGTTTACCCCAAACACTCTGTATCTTGGTTTCCTCACCTGTAAAGTGAGACGATATGAACACATTATTATTTACTTGCTGTAAAGTTCTTATTCTTATAAGAAGTAATGCTACCTGATGAGCAAATGCAATGTGTTGGGTACTAAGCTACGTGCTTAACATGCATCGACTTATTTTGTCCTTACAACAACCCTATGAGGAAGGTATGTTATAATCCCCATTGATGTTTGAAGAAAATGAGCCATTGAGAAGAAAAGTAACTTTACTGATGTCACAGAGAGAAAAAATGGCAAGGCAGGGGTAATGAGATACTAGGTAATGGATGGTTTGGTCATGATCATGCATGCAAGCTCTTAGCTTAGTGCCTGCCTACGGTAAGCCTTGACAAAGGCTATTATTATTAGCCTTATTATTATTATCTCTATTGCCATTATTATTCGGCTAGAGGAATTGCCTTGGCTTTCACAGAGGAGGTGATATTTGCAATCAGCAGTTGAGGGTGGGTAGGCTATGGACAGGAGGGGCTGGGACAGATGGGTACTCTAGACTACGGGCACAGCAGGAATTCCGCAGCTTTGGGATGGAGAACGGGGAGGAGATGTTGAGGCTGGATCTTAGGCTGTAAGGGAAACAGGAGAGAGGGGTTCAGCTGACAAGAGAGTAAACTGGCCTGGCTTTCTGGTGGTAGACAGTATGTCAGCATTTGAGGTTTTAAATACAGGAAGTAAGGAGATTGGAGCTTTGCTCAGTTGTGTATTTACTGAGCCAAACTGCCTGCCCTTGAGGCCATGCTTTCCTCTGGGGAAGCTCTTCAAACCTGAGTCCATGTGGGCAGGTACCCTGTTCTGGTATTGATGCCCAGGCCAGAGAGGAAATGATGTGTTGGAGGTCGGGAGTCCCCTCTCAAAAGCCCAGCTTTCATTCTAGACCCGTCCCTCGGTCAGGACAGGCTGAGTTGGGTGCTCGTGTGTGCTCACAGGTGAGGGAGAAAAGGAGACTGAGAGCAGAAGCCCCTCTGCCAGCCGTGCGGCTTTCTGCAGGTCCTCGCCTTTCCTCCTGCCCCTGCTGATACTTCCTTCTAAGATCCAGAATTACAGAAAGCTGACTTAAACCGTCTCCAGGGCCAGATATTCCTGGGTGAAAATGAGGGGCTTCTTGAGAGGAAATGAAAGGAGACAGAGATGTGACTTTGCTTTAAGATTTTCTAGTGTGACCCATGGCACAGATTCATTTTGAAATAGAAAGATGGGCCTGGAAGTGTGATGTCAGTGCAGGCATTTGGAATCCCTGCTGGAGAACACAGAGGTGAGTAGGGGCTCTACTGAGTTACCTTGGTGGAGTCTCTGGTGGGAAGCAGCCCGTTGGAGTGGAAAGGGCACAGAAATGGAAACCAGACCACCTGGGTTCCTCCAGCCCAGTGTTTTTCAAAGGGCAAGGTGACTTGAGATGTCAAAGGAACAACGTGTCCAACAGTTACAAATCACAAATGAGAACTTTTCCCCATTTCAAAGTAATGTTTCAGTTCTTCTGATGCCATCAAGGAGAAAGTCTCAGTTTGGGGGTAGTGTGTCTATAACATGCCCCCATCACTTGCTGTTCTTTCTGTTATAAGGACCTGGGCATAGAGGCTTTAGTGGGCAATAGCATCAATTCTAGGGGGTCTTATCCTTGGCTTACTCTGCTGTCCCCTGGGGAGAGCTTTAAAAAATTACTTCTGCCTGGTCTCCTCCCTCCCCTGGCAAATTCTGATTTAATAGGTCGGAGGTATGGCCTGGGCATTGGGACTTTCAAAGCTCTCTGGGCAGCAGTTTCTGATTAGAATTATTTTAATTGTATTTATTAATCTATTTATGGCAAGTGATCTCGGTTTTCTATTAAGGTTTGAAGTAAAATTTCCTTTCAACATCAGTCAACTTAAATAAAAAGAGTGCCGATTTAAAACAAAACTAAACAAAATGGAACAGTGCAAGTGGTATTTGGATACGGCAAAAACAAAATATGCTTTGAGTGAACTTTATGCAACTCCCTTTGGGTCCTTGCTTAGCTCTGCATTTTCTGACCTCTTGCAGGTCTAGTCTCCTCAAGGACAAAATGGGAACAATTATCTCAGGTCACCTTTTTCTCAATGGGTTACACTGCAGATCACACAATCAAGCTCTGTTAAGTTTGATTTGCTAA